TGATAAACGTTTAACAAATCATACTGTCTTCTTTTATATTCAGCAGCTAGAAAAACTCTTTCTGACTACCATGACTTTCCGGCTTTCTCTTCGGGTCATTATAGTCTGAGGTAATGTGCGTTCAAACATGTAAAAACTATAATGAAGTAAAAGTTATTCTTCCAAAAGATAGATTGATCTTCTTTCACGTATGACAGAGATTATTAATAGTGAGATATAATCTCATAAAAGGATTATTATATACATACATGTTTTGTATATATGTGTATAGAACTTTATTTCTCTTTATAGAAAAGAACAAATTTTCTAGTTTAATCTATATATTCATTTATTCGATGTCCAGAAGAAGCAGTGCTCAGCCGATATTCTGCCAACTTCTCAGATTAAAATTAAATGAACTAGAGAGGGTCCATCTCCAATGGTTATATTAGTTTGAAGTACACAAGTTGTACTATATACTGATGTATTTTCTAAAAAAGACCCTTTTCAGTTTTTGAGATATGTAGCTCTCAATATTGGTGATTAACGTTTGACAAACCATAAACAACTTTCTTCTCTTATATTCAACAGTTAAATAAACTCTTTCTGACCACCATGACTTTCCGGCTTTCTCTTCGGGGCATGATAGTCAGAGGTAGTTTGCGTTTAAATTTTACTCATTAAGTGGAATGAAAAGTTAAAGTCACAGGTTAAAGTCGGTGAAATGTGTTGTTTTGAGTTCAGTTTGATCAGGGTAAAACAAAATTTGGGCATAAGCTCCCTCGGAGTACCATTCGACGGACAATTACGAAAATTATGGTGGTAATTTAAAATTGGTAACATTTTCTAATGAAACTCGAAAGCATATATTTTGCCAATTTTAAGCCGCAATATTTCAAGGCTAATATTTCAAAAACTAAGAAGAAACTTTTTCTGCAAAGTAGATCAATATATAATACAACTCGTACACTTCAAATTGACACAAAAAGTGCAGACGGGTACTCTTTTATTATTTTTATTTTAATTCTCGATGTTGGCAGAATAAGGACTAGATTCATAGTAAGCACCGCTTCTTTCCAAAATCGAATAAATGATGTCTGAATAAAAATAACCTTTCTATAAAAATATATAAGGAAATAACACAAGCAGTAAACGAAGAAAACTTTGGACATAAGCTACCTCTGAATATAATTATTCGATGGGCAATCACCAAAAATCATGGTAGCATACACACATTTTAAATTTCTCATGAACCCACTATACAAATTACTTTCTTCTTTGTTGACAGATAGTCAATGAAAATAGAATTTGTTCTTCTCTTATATTTAGTTTAAGAAAAAAAGTGGTTGTATATGTATGTATATTATGTGCCAAACTAAGAAAAAAGACACAACATGCATATACTACGACTTTTTGCTTCAACTAAATATAAGAGAAGAACAAATTTTATTTTCATTGAACATTCAGTTTAACATTCAGTTTAGTCAGTATAAACATACGTCCAGATTTTGCTTGTTGGGGTATTGTTCAAGATGTTATAAAGCAGATATGAAATAATTTATATTTGACAATGATAATACAGAAATGAAAATAAGAAAAAAAATAATCAAATACGAAGATGAGATTACTAGTAATAAAAAGTGAGTAAAATCTAAGGTTAAATCTATCAAACAAAAAAAGAAATTTACGCCAAAGGAGTTAGTTGTGCACAAATAAAAGGTTTTGGTATATCAGTTATTAAAATAATGTTATTTAATTGTTGATAAAATTGGAGAGTATGTTGTGGACGACGTCGTTGCATATTCGCTAAATAAATGTTAAAAAAAACAAGTAATATCATACACTTAGTCAAAGGAAGATCGGAGTAGAAAAAGGCTGAGAAAGGTTGATAGAGTCCCGAAGTGATAGAAGAGCCTTCTTGTTAAAAGAGACTGGACAAGATACCAGTGATGGATCGACCACACAGGCGGATCCATCTCCGAGTCGCTGATATGTTATCCAAACCCCATTCAACAGAAGGATCTTTCCCCGGATCTTTCAAAGTGATTCTAAAGTTATGATTTTTTGTTTCTTTTAAAAGAAGAAAAACGGCTAGCGGTCAATATCTTTCTGTTGCTTAAATTAAACCATGAATTGTCATCACTTTGATTTTCGTCTTCTTCATCACCATCTGAGCTTGAGTCATTGCTTCCAGAAGTAATAATGTCATAATCTATTCCTAAATCCTCGTTATTTTGAACATTCGCATCTGGAAGTACTATAAAATCATCATCTTCGATATCGTACACATGTGTGTTCATAAAAATTTCTCTTTTTTCTCGCTCTTCTGTGCTCCACTCCATTTCTAGCATGCGATATAACTTTTGCATCATAGTATACAACGGTCTTTTTGCTGCATTTGTTGAAGAAAAGTATAACCGGGACAAAAGGTCATTTCCCTTCTCAACCCCTTGCATATTAAAAGCTCCTAAATCTTCTTTCTCGTCAAACTCGTACAAATGATTTCCAACTATATGAAGATACGGTGTTACATTACTCAGTAAACAAGCAGCATTGAACGTTTGAAGAAACTGAACACAAGCAGTTTTTAGATTTTTCTGGCGCTTCAAGGGATCGATTTTGAGAATATCAAGTATTTCTCGAAAATCACTCACTAATTTTTTGCGGACTACATATAATGCGGACTGCCAATCTCGTCAACAAACAATGGAATCTCGGCATAACTGTGCTGATAATAGATGACTCAACGGAAAAAATCGTCTATACACATCCACTTGATTGGCGGCTTAATCAACCAATCCATCACTCCACAGTTTATTAAAAAACACACACACATGAAATTGGATCTCCACGTAACCTGACCTGATCTGACTTTAGCTGAAGTCTAAATTTATACACACATATAAGATGTGTATGCATACTCTCACAGTAATAATTACAATTTCCACATAACCTGACTCGACCTAACCTAGAATGAAGTTGACATATATAGACACACTAGAATGTCTATATGTTATGTGAGAATACGAATTACAATTTCCACATAACCTGACTCGACCTAACCTAGAATGAAGTTGACATATATAGACACACTAGAATGTCTATATGTTATGTGAGAATACGAATTACAATTTCCACATAACCTGACTCGACCTAACCTAGAATGAAGTTNAAGTTGACATATATAGACACACTAGAATGTCTATATGTTATGTGAGAATACGAATTACAATTTCCACATAACCTGACTCGACCTAACCTAGAATGAAGTTGACATATATATACAGTACAAAACATACACAAGGCCAGTTGTCTGTATATTAGAATTTGACATTCAGAATTTGAATTTCT